CTTACCAATTTGTTGTCTCTTCTTAGACATTGCCTTGATATACCGTGGATTCTTAGTACAATCCATAATAATGCCTGGTTTGGGGAGATTAAGCCGCCTTGGAGATTAAGCAATGAGTTTCTGATCAGGAATAGCAGAGTGACAAATTCAAATTTCCCTGGCCTCCGTAGTAGACATTCCTCCAAATCTATTTATTTCCTGAACGCTGTTTACATCCATTACAGGAAAACATTCACTGTAGATAAGCTTAATAGTACAATTGATGGTGTTGGAGAGAGGTTTAGTAACATCCTATTTCAGGACTGCCGGTATCTACACTTGGACAGGGCAATGAATATAGTTGTGGATGTCTTGCGATGTTGACCTTATCCTTGAGATTTTAATATCTCATATTTTAACTAATTGCTTGAGTTGGCCTGTAGAGGAGAATGCACTCTTTTTTTTAATCAGTGAACTGATCTATAAAAAATTTGTAGGAAGATTTCCAAATCTGCTCAGTTGCTATTGTGATCAAAAGTCTAAATTTGGATATATCACTGCTAAGTCCGCATTTGAATATGAATGGCTAATCAAGTAAAGTACACCAGGTTTATAATAGGGCTATCCTGCTTCAGATTCAGGACTCAGTGTCCCCCTGAAGCTGGCCTGACTGAAGCCATTTTGTCTCTCAGCTCCAGTGTGGCAAAGTCTTGCTTACAATGAATTTATTACTTGAAACCCTGACACTCAGTTTCTGACGCTGAAGAGCAAGCTCCAGCAGAGCCTTTGATATGTCAGCCTCAGGAAGAATCACAGGAGGATGATCAAACACAGGGAATACCTGAGGAACAGGAAATGTCACAGGAGGTTGACCTCTCAGCTCATGCATATGATAGGTAGAGATGAGAGCAGAACAAAGAAGGTCTATTAGGCTCCTCGCCAAGGAGTAAATCTTCTGACTAATGACAGCTGGCTGCAGTCCATATAAGGATCTACTCTGCCCTAGTTCTCATTGCTGGACATAATGCTTGACATTCAACTCGTGTGTGACATTCTACTTCTTGGACCTCTGACTTTTGGACTAACAGATAACCTTGACCCAACTCTAAAACCTTGGATTGACTCTGGATGATTCTTTAGCATGCTCTTGTTCTCAAGGCAAATCTTGCAGGCAAGCCCCAGTTTTATTCACATTCCTATGCTCTCTCTCTCTCTCTCTCTCTCTCTCTCTCTCTCTCTCTCTCTCCCTCTCTCTCTCTCAAAGTTGCAGCAGGGCAGGTCTGCACATCATAAGTCCTGCCAAACAGCCTTATGTAGCCAGTTAGTGTTTTTTTAAAAAACTTAATAAATTCACCATTGCCAAACATCATCACTACCAGGAAAAACATGTTGCCCTGAAAAATATGCCTCAGGCATACTGATATTTCTTTGACTATTACCACTGTATCCCACTTTTAGCTATAATGATTTCTACTATTTATAGATAGAAATCTGATCTCCCAAATAAAATGGTGATTTATTTTTTCTAGAAACACAAAGAAGTCTGAAGTTACATTTCAGAATTCATGCTCATCTGTTTCCAAAGAAGACCTTTTACATTTTCAGAAACAATGAATATTAATACAAGAGCATACAGTAACTGAATTTTCTTACTTTCATACTTTAGAGTCATGTAAGGACAAAACTGAATTGTATTTGTGGTCAAGCACCCACCAAAGCCCTTTTGGAATGCATTTTGTGTGTTGTTGCTGGACCACTGTCTTGTTCTTTATTTTTTTTAAAAAAATGTTCTTATTTTTTATTATTTTATCCCTGATTATTCATTTTGTATTTATTATTATTACACCGTGACCCATCCAGAGACTTCTGGAGTCAGGTGGTGCATAAATTGATTAAATCAAATCAAATTAAATTCACTCACCCAAAATAAACACACAGATTAAAAAAAAAGTAGACCTAGCCACTGTTTTACTATATCTCGTTTTATTGTTTAAATACTTCTATGCAACCCAGCTGCAACATTGGAGGTGAATTGAGCCCTGATGCAGATGACTGTACTGAGTTAAGACAAAGGAAAATGGATGACTAAATTTATTTCATACATTTATTTTTTCATATTAGTATGAGGGTGTGTGTGTGTGTGTCTGTGTGTATGTAAGAAAGAGGGAGGGAAAGGAAGGGGGGGAGAATAAAGCCCAGATTTAGGAGCTGATTTTTATATTATTTGCTATAATGATATTCTTATTAAAAAGTGCTATGTGAGGGTGTGGCAAAGGAAGGAGAAGAGAATGGATGCTTTCCCATTGATCCCTCTTCACTAACCTTCCAAAGTTGTTGACTGCAAAGAAGCTGTAAGTGCATTTAGTGTCATCTTACTTTCTTTGCACACTTCAATGATAATACGGTGAAATCACACAGAGAGTAGGAGTGCATTTCTTTGCCTCTCCTCCATGCATTATTTTTCAGAATGCCTGAAGGAGGTTTTAGTCTTTCATGTATTCATTATACCTTTCAACAGGTTCAGTTGTTTTCTCTACCTCTTTATGGAAATCACACTATAATTATCTGTTCTGGAGTTTGTTGTATATCTTTAATATACCTTGAGAAAGATTTATTGATTCTTTGCTATTTATTATGTATTAAGTTGTTGTTTGTTTGCTACATTTCTATTTTGTTTCTAGGAAATTAAGCATCTTTCTGGTGATTGTCTTGTGTTGTATACTGACTGCTGTGGTGTATGTTGAACTAAGAGACACAGAAAGGACCAAAATTACCAGGTCCATGGCTGAGAGTGGACTTCAGCTTGAACTCCTGCAAACTTAACCCAGCTCTCTTCAAGACATCATCACTGTACAGTGAGTTAGGTTCTTTTCAGCTCAACCAATTTTGTTTCAGTTGATGGGGGAAAGTGCTGCAGCTTTAATTTTGTATTGGAATGCTACCCTGAATTAAGGGCATATGAGTTATTTCCTCTCCCTCAAGAGAATTAACCAACTGTGTTTATAATGAGCTAACAGCATGAAAATTTAACCATGCCATTACCTCTCATCTATAAGCTGGAGTTGCACTCCATATAATGTGTTAGGATTGCTCTGTAAGGTGATTAGTATCAGGCCCAAGCCCAAAGACGACACAGTGAAATCCAATCGAGTCCAATTCTTTATCTGCTTACACTTAATGGATGGAATCTTGCCAGACTAAAGTTATAACTCTCTAACCTAACAGTTACATCCTGGGAGATGGCTACTCTGAACCTCATTCACACAGTCTCACACAGACTATGTGAGTCACACAGACTATGTGAGCCACACAGTCTCTTAATTTGGGCCACATAGTCTCTTAATTTGGGTTTCCTTCTGGAATGTACTGCCTCCGTCCTGGGAAATCATGCTACTCTTACAGGAATCCCCCTCCCATGTCCTTCTCCAAACTCACATTCTATCACAATTAGGAGATGCCCCAACACTTGCCCTCCCCTTCTCAACAAACTACAACTTGTGCAGGATGTGAATACAACCCTCAGTGATTTAAGTTTAACAGTTAAAAGGTAAAGGTCTCCTCTGCCCAGTTGTGTCCAATTCTAGAGGGCAGTGCTCATCTCCGTTTCTTAGCCAAGGAAGACAGTGTTGGCCAAAGATGTTTCTATGGTCATAGGACAAGCATGACCATATGCCAAAGGTACATGGAACACTGTTACCTTCCCACCAAAATGATATCTCTTTATCTACTTGCATTTGCCTTCTGTCGAACTGCTAGGTTGGCAGGAGCTAGGACAGGACCAGGAGCTCACCTTGTCATACCTTGTTTGGGTTTTGAACTACCAACCTTCTGGTCAACAAGCCCAGAGTCTTAGCCACTGGGCCACCACCCGCCATAATCTAATCAGTATGCCATCTATATTAGTAACAGCTGCTTTCATGATCCTTTTTAAATGATACACAGTTCTTCAGAGTTTGTGGTCTACCTATGGGACATCAGTATAAATAAATTATGGATCGTGGTAACAAGTCCATGGGTCTTTTAGAATCAGAGCTGAATGATCAGTGGCACTGTGCAGTGTTTTATCACATTTATATTCAAATTTCAGTTTGGTGAGATTTATTTGCTGGATAAATTTAAATATAATTCTTTCATTAACCAATGGGAACAGGTGTCTTTAAAAAACTGACAAAAATAGAATCCTGATTCTTATATTCCCAAATGATTTTGGTTTTGTTTAAAAAAGCTATCCAAAATGAACATAGCTGGCCATTCTCCTCCTGTGTACACAAGGACATTCACAGACAGTTAAATTAGTACTACATTGTATTTTTATTATAGGAAAAAGCACCAGTTCATTTTGTCATGCCCCTACTTTATTCAAAGTAGATGTTCAGCTAACCTGTATTGCTACCAAAGAATAAAATCTTAATTCACAGGTATATTATAATCAACACCTTTGTATAATCCGTATATTTAAATTTCATCAGGCACTAAAGTGCATCTGACAAGTTGGTCTGTAACTATGTTCCTGATGGATTTTTATATAATTATCTGGGTGGTTGTTTCCCTTCTTGAAAAATAAATCTGAATAGAAATAATTCAGAACAATGAGAAAATTAGGTTTTTGTAAAAATGAGCATTACTGATATAATTTCTAATGCCTTTGTAAGGATGTAGCTTAATTATTAAGATAAGCAGAAAGTTCTAACTGCAACCTCAAGAATCTTCAGATAAGAATGGCTGCTGTGTTAATGAAAAATATCTTGCATAAACCATGTCAAAAATTCAAGCAATCACATTAGTCAGTAAAACTAATGGAAATGTATGTAAGTGTTCAGACAATGTAGGCAGAATCTGGTTCTAAAACTGAAGTGGGAGATCAGGCCAGAAATCAAGGCTTATAAGTCAGTAACAAGGATAGGCCAGGCACAGACTGAGCCCAGCAAGAGCTTTGTTTCTATCCCAATTTTCTTCTTTTGGTAAGCATTGAAGGAGCCTAGCAAACTTTTCAAAAAAGCAGTATATTTACAATGAGAAACAGAACAATACAAGGAATACTGAACTCTCTAACACTTAAAAGTGTCCTGAAAGGAGGTTCATCCATATAAAAAATCGGGGGCTTAGATGCAACTCTGAGGAGCGGCAATTCCATATTGGAAGAGGAAGGTAGAAAAAGGCCCTCTTCTGGGGTACAGAATGATGAGGCATCCTGTAGGAAACAGGAAAGAGTTCAACTTTTATGACTGTCCACATAATGTCATATGGTGCTGCTCCATCAGCAGCAATAGGTTCAAGCCACAAAGCACAGAGTCTCATGAAGCATTCTTAGTAATACCTAGTCTCTGTAAAATAAAAACAACCATTATTGTGAGACTAGCTACCATAACTTTTTTTCTTTTCGGATCCTTTCTATTGAGTTAGTTCACAATGACATTAACCCTAGCACTGATGATGTTCCCTAGTTTGGTAATAAAATGTCTACATAAAACATCTAAGTTCAGAAACATCCAAAGATCCCATAGTTCAACCCTGCTACACATATTCTCTTATATAGATACTAAGCCATGTTTTTTTTAATAAGCTTCAAAAGCTAGGTTCACACATTTCACTAAATTATGAACTATGGCTTGCAAACTGCAGCAGCTGAATTAATATCCTACGGTGTGCCAAAAATCAAACAAACTACAACATGGCTTACTGTGATGTATCACCCCATCCACTGACATTCCATACAATATGGCTGTCTTGGCAACTACAAAATAACAGGACTGAATTGTATTTCTGGTGAAAAGTGGAACATGGTGGAAAATGTGAGATAACAGTTTTATAAAGTGAGAAAAAGCTTTGATGAGTATAGACAAGCAAATTAATCCCATTCCCCCATATTCACTATAATGTCACCCATATTCTGGTATATTCTATGCATGCAGTCAACTGCCTTCCTCCTCCTCTTTTCCTTCCTCTGATGCCAGGCTTTGAAATGCTAAATCAAGCATTCTATTCCAACTCTACAATTAGAACCATTTTGAAAAATGAATTAAATTTCTCTTCCTTCATCACATTCTCAAGTAGAGGCTGGCCGTTTCCAGCTGGAAGACTGAATTATTGTTGCAACTTCTAGAAACCATGAAAACCAGAGCTCTCAATCATGAGAAAGCTACATTAGTAGAGCATACTCCATTCTGCAGAACCTGGCCTCTCAACTTAGTGATTGCAACAAAGAGATTTAAAGTAACATGCCTTAAAGTAATATGGACCTGGTGCCTGAATAGGCTGAGATTGACTTTGGATTGCATTTATCATGCTTGCAGGCTTGTATTCTTTTCAGCTACAACTTCTGTAGGGTGTGTGTGTGTGTGTGTGTGTGTGTGTGTGTGTGTGTGTGTGTATAAAACAACATCTGTGTATAATGACAGTCAAATTCCTCCAGAGCTCATATGTATAATCATAAAGCCATAGCTGGAGTCATCATCACTACAACATCAGAGATTACAATTCTGTGCAGGAATTGTATCTTGGGCATACCAATATTGTTGAGTTTCTATATATTTCCATCATATTTTACTGGGGTATGGATAAATATACTTATTTTAAAACCCACCCATGTGAAACATGTATGCATTTGTTTCAGGTTATTGATTTGTGGTGCTCTAGTTCTGTAATACATTTCGCTGGAAGGGATTTTTCTTTTAGCCTCAACGGTAAAACTGTGAACATGAAATAAGGAAGATAAGATTATTTTCTGTTTTTGGTTCTATTTACATTTTTCTTTAAAGAACAGCAAATGGAAGGAATAAAGGGCAAAAAAACACATAGGCTCTTTAATGTTCCCCCAGCAGCTTTTTATCTGTTAAATGTATATCCTGGTTGTAATTTAGGGTACAAAGGTACCATAAGTAGTACTCCCTCCTTCATTTTTTCTCAATAATTTTGGGAAATGGATTGGCTGAGCATGGCCCAATTTTTTCCAGTCTTAGTTCTTAACCATTCCACTTCTTTTCCATATGATTCCCGTAATGTCAATAGGACGTTGTGATACTGGCAGGTAAAAGAAATGGAGAGATAGAATGTTATAAGAATTAATAAGTGAAGGATAGTTGTGATCCTTCTTTTTGGCCCCACTTGTTGTATGGATTCGTTCTTCCAAATCTGCCTTGCATGGAGAATTGAATACCTAACTGTACATTGATATAAAGTAGGAGCCTCATTTCATAGCCATCATTTGTTGATTACATGACCTTGATCAAAAGCCCCCATCAATTATCTCAAACTTCTACACATTTTGGTTCTTTGCCCCTTTCCAAACCAATCTCCCCCCGCCCACATCTTCTTGTTGGGCTGATGAGTGAAACCCAAACTTGAATCACTTCTGCCTATGGATCAGAGGTGATATTCAGCAGGTTCTGATCAGTTCTGAAGAACTGGTAGCGGAAATTTTGAGTAGTTCAGAGAACCGGCAAATACCACCTCTAACTGGCCCGCCCCCATCTATTCTCTGTCTCCTGAGTCCCAGCTGATCGGCTGGGTCTTCTTTTGTTACCCTGCACAGGAGAATGGAGCTGGAAAGTTGGTTAGTGGGGTGGGGAGGGAATGGGGATTTTGCAGCATCCTTCCCCTGCCACGCCCACCAAGCCACGCCCACAGAACAGGTAGTAATTTTTTTAAAATTCCGCCACTGCTGTGGATGTTTATTTTTTCCTAGGGAAGATTGCTTATTACTCTTCTTATCTATCAACTCTGTCTCCATTGAGTCAGCCTGGGGAAATGACTGGGAGGCAGCTTTGCTATAGCATGAACCCCCCCCCCCCGCTCTCTCTTCCTCTTTCTTTCCCTCCCTCCCTCCCCCTCCTTCCCTCCCTCCCTCCCTCTCCCCCTCTCTCTCTTGGTCATACACACACACACACACACACACACACATGCACACACACACACACACACACACACACACACACTGCAGTGCTGATCTGTTGGCATAGAGAGAAGAAAGTGCCATCTTTTTTGTACATATGCATTTGCTAATAGATTTTTAAAAAACACCAGATAAATGCACATAACATTTGTGGATAAATGCATGTCCTGTGTATGGGACAGGGGTTTATAAACTTCCTTCCTTCCTTCCTTCCTTCCTTCCTTCCTTCCTTCCTTCCTT